GCTAAATTTTTAAAACAAATTTCCTACGGTTACATTCCTCTAAACCCCCACTATCCATTGTACATTATGTTTGTTGTCTAGAGTACAAGATGGGTTAGGTATTAACTCCCCATTACAGATAGCAGTTTCGTCAAACTGCATCCCAATACCTTCTCCACCCATTTAAACCATTACTGGCTCTTGTTCAAAGATTACTTGCAAAATCAAATCTTTGATTTTAATAAATGTATTCTCTTAACAATCGCAGAAGTCAATGGCTGGTGCTAGGTTATAATCGTGTACTCAGCGACATCCCCCTTAGATTTTTTACAAATTCTATATTAAGAGGGGCCATTTTTGACCCCTTCTTCAGACTAGCCTTAGACCCACATGTCATAGAAGTACATCTGTAGGCACACCCGTCTATATACGTGGTAGCATTTACAATTATCTTTCTACTTTCTAATTTAATACATACATTTTCTTTTCTAATTATATTGTTTTCTTAAAATAATTCTATTGTCTTTTTATTGTTTACAAAAAAGTTTTCGTTAAATTTCATTTTTAAAATTTTTTATAATAGGGGTTAGAAAAATAAATGCTTTTTTACCTTTACTTCATCTTTTCTCCCCCACCTCCTCCACATAATTACGTTCACTTTTTTATTTTTTGTACTTAGTTAGTAGGAAAGTGAAAAAATGAAGTAGCGCCTAAACGCCTATAAAAGGAAAATAGTAACCAATCAACTTGTTTAGTGAAAACAACAACAACCATAATTTCAATTTTTTCACTTCAAGACAATTTTTGTTTCATAAGGGATTTCACGGTCAGGAAAAGACCTCGCCCATTCTGACCCCAGAGTAAAATTTTATAAAACTTTTTCTTACAAAACAAAATACAAGGGGGTGTGAAAAAAAAGGTTTTTTATACTTTTTTTAAATTTTGGGCGGAAAAATTTGGTTTATTAATGATTTTTTTTTAAAAAATATTTAAAAAGTATTTAGTTAAGCCAATTAATCAACTTTCTGGTTTCTAAATTTTATTATATCAATTTCTTCAATAATTATCGAATTGTTATCTCCTGCAGCAAACTTTACCTTATTTAATTTTCATATTTCTACAACAATATAGACTATAGTATTTAAATGTTTATGAAGTAGCATTCTTCTTGTTTGTGTATTATTGTCAACATCTGGCCTAATTAGAACTCTATTATTAAAATAATAGAAAAAAAATCATTATGCCATTGACTCCTTTCAATCATACAATCTGCAGCTTTTTTTTTGTACATAACCGAATTTTTCATAGAATTATCAACAGTCATGCTGTTATGTTCTTGCTCTTCAATAAATTCTGGAATTAAATTATCTAAATTATAAAATATAACATATCTAATAAATATTTTATCTTTTATATGTTCAATTTCTAAATCACTGTTAGAATCGTTAATTGTTAAAAGTATAAAATTTATTTGTTCGTTAGCCATCATCAACACTTTTTATTTTAACCGAACATCAAATAAACAATGTAATTGACGTTGTGGTGTGGCGAAGTTTATTATAAGAATAAGTTGTATCTTCTCTCACCGACCCCCATTTAGCTAGAGCATCTATTATCGTAGAACCAATCACCCGTTTTATTGGCTTTTTATACCTGTCTTTGTATCCAAGGACATCTAACACGGCCTTTAACATGCCTTACATCAAATGAAAAAAAAAACATTTTAGACATAGAATATTTCAAAATTCTCTTAAATTATCTGTATTTATAGGGAAGTAGGGCTGATTTGACATAAAAATAATTTTAATTGCAGGAACTACAGATAAAGTGGTCTTTACTCGAAAAGGAACTTTTTATATAAACTTGGAAAATAAGTCCATGACGAAAAGCATACACATACCCATCATTTACTTCTCTATAATACCTAAAATCTATTAGATCGGGAAATATATTGTTCTTTGGGAAGTCTGACGATAATGGATCTTATAACAAGTCTTATAATTATCCTCTTCTCGACTGAAAAATTTCAAACAGACTTAATATTTCAGAAATCTTTCTTGCCAAATTCCATACATTATTGACTTACTAGAGTAACTTAGTAGGATGTGGCCTGTTTGGAGATAGGACACCAGAACGCTTGTAACGTTGCAGACTTTCTTACTTGCCCTATTAAGAAAAAAGTTTTCTTTAAACAATTTATTGTGCACTCTTAATGCTTTGTTGTGATAATGATTTTTAGTCATACGTCTTTTGTTTTATCGCATATCTTTTGGTGAAATCAAACTTATTTATATTGGATATTGCAGCTCAAACTTACAATTTTTTTGACTACCCTCATTTAGATTTATAAAGTTTTTATTCCTTATTTTTAAAATGTTGCACACAGAGAAAGAACTAGATAGAGAATACTTTGAATAATTTTAAATTAAGAATATTAGTAAAAAATTGTCTCGAGTGTGGGAAAAAATTTCTTTTTACACTGATGGAAGAGTTGTTTGTTGCAACAAAATAAAAAAACATAGATATTCGATTTATAAGAATACATGTTTTTGTCATAGGAAAGTTTCAATTATTACAATATTAAAAATTATTGATTTATTTTTAAATAACGTGCTATATAAACTTATTGCACATATAAGTGGGTTGTCAAGAAACAGAGTAACAGATATAATTTACATGTTTAATTATAGTTCCATACTGGACTATTGTCTTAACACCTTTAAAATTGGGAGGAACATACAATATAATATAGATAGATGAGAGCAAGTTTGGAAGAAGGAAATATAACGGGGGCATCACGTTGGAGGAGTATGGGTCTTTGGTGGTGTAGAAAGAAGAACTAAGAAGATTTTTCTCATATCTGTTGAAAAAAGAAACAAAAACATTAGAAAATATTCTGAAGGCCCAAATAAATCTTTATACTATTATTTATTCTGATTGTTGGAAAGCATACAATAATCTAAAAAATATTTTTTTTGCTCATAAAACAGTTAATCATAGTAAAGAATTTATGAACAAGAAAGAAAACGTACATACTAACACTATTGAGGGCACGTGGAATGCTATAAAAAGAAACATCCCATTTAGAAACAGAACAAAAAAGCTTGTTACCATTTATCTACTTAGATTTATGCTATGTCGAAATAATGAAAATAGTGAGGTAAGTAAATTGTTGTACTGCTCTCTATCTTATAGATATTTAAAAATATATTTTTGAATCTTTTACTCTCTAGTACTTGTGTCTTTAAATAACTAAATTTAATATATTTGTAAACAACTAATTAATTAAAAAAATATTGCAGAAGAACTAGAAAAAAAATCATTTTAAAATGATTTTTTTTATTTAAATAATTTTCTAGTTCTTCTTCTGTGTGCAGCATTTTAAAAATAAGGGATAAAAAATTTTAAAATGGGGGTAGTCAAAAAAACTGTTAATTTGAGGTGCTTTACCCCAAGAATTGATATTCTTGGTGTTTCATCGACCAGCGTAATAATCTGCTACTTGGGTTTGTGGCCCTAAGAGGTATGTCAAGGCTTTATGATCTGTCTTAAATGTAAATTTTTTTCCTAAAAAAGAATGCCAATAATTTTCTATACTTTAAACAACGACAAATAGTTCTTTATCTGTGACTGAATAGTTTATCTAAGCTTTATCGAAAGCTTTACTAAATGCTGATATCATATCTTCTTTTCCTTTGCTGTCCTTCTGAGATTATATGGTCTCTATGCCTATGCTCGATGCATCTGTGGTAAGAATGAATTCCTTATTAAAATCAGGTTTATGTCAAACATTTTTTTGCGTCATCTTGTTTTATCGTTTTGAATGCTTCCTCAGCCATTGTTGTCCACATAATTTTTTTTGACTGTGCTTAGTCTTTCTTTTAATAGGTTATTTAACCGTGCTGTAATTAATGCATAATTTTTAATAAATTCTCGACAATAATTAAAGTTCCCTAAAAAAGATCTCAGTTCTTTTATACTTTGTGGTAGTGGATGTTCCTCAATTGCTTGTATTTAGTCGGATTTGTCTTAATACATGAGTTTGTATTATATTACCCAGAATTTTAATTTCCTTTTTGTAAAACTGGCACTTTTTTTTATTTAGTTTAATACCTGCTGCCTTTTCTCTCTAAAATATTACTTCCAAATGTTTTTCATGTTCTTCTAATGTTTTAGAGTAGATAATAATATCGTCCAAATAAGGTAAAACAAGTTTTCCTAACTCCTTCTTGAAAATTGTGTCAATGCATCTTTGAAATGTTCCAGGTGCAATGCATAGCTCAAATGGTATCCAGTTAAATTTTATATAGCCCATTTTTTCAAGCAAAGGCTGTTTTTGGTTTGTCTTCTTCTGCGGGGGCGACCTGATAATACCTAGGGGTTGCATCTAAGGTCGAAAATATATGGCACTCGCCAGTCTATCTAGGATTTCGTCTATTTGTGGTAACGGATACTTATCTTTAATTTTTATGTTATTAAGAGATCTAAAATCAATGCACATTCGTAATGAACCATCCGGTTTCGTGACAGGAAATATTCTAAAACACCACGGACTATTGCTATTCCTTATAATTTTAGCTTTTAACAATTTCTTTATAAATTTATTCTTCGTAATAAATGTTATTTTATTATTTCTTTCTAAATTGGGCTTTTATCCCCCGTGTTTATTCTATGTATGTTCTGTACGTAGCTGTATTTCATTAATTTCTGTAGTAAATAGACTTTCATATTTTTGTAGCATCATCATCTGTATTTTGCTTGTTTCTGCTTCTAAACATTGCAAATCCTCTTTTTTAAAAATTTTTGCCTACCTTTTTAAAAATCTTTTTATGACCACTAAGATTATTAATTCAAGAGTTGCTATTTTAAATTATTTGCCAGTACTAAGAACGTAAGTTTACAGTAAAAATTTCCGAAATTTATATTTACGCCATTAACTTGTCCCAGAATTTTAATTGGTGCGCCATTTGTTCATCCCATTCATCCGTGGTATGGACTAGTTTTAATATCTTTTGGTAATACTGAGTGATTTATTTTTGAAACTTTTGCACCTGTATTAATTAAAATCTCGCAAAATTTTTTACCACTTTAAACTTCAGAACAAAATGACTTGATCGTTTATTTTTGTTTGTAAAATTTTATATGTAATACTTTTTATTAGTATTATCATCGCTTATTCCCTTGTTTCCCCCGAACTCTCTTCTAAGGACAATTCATTGACATTTTCAAAAACTTTCCTATTATTATTGTTTTTTGTCCATACCAATTTCTTAAATTTCAAGATTGTAAAGCATTCATCGCTGGAATGAAACTTATTTCCACGCAACTCACAAAATTTCTTTTTTTTAATCTCTTTCTGTTTCTTTTCTTTATATTGGACTTTCCTATAATTGTATTCTCTGTTTTCGTACGCCTGGCTCACTGCATTTTCTGGGAATTCCACCTAGGCCGATTTCTTTGCTCTTCTCAGAAAAGGATCCCATCCATCAGCGGTTAACGAAAATTGGTACAATACCCCTCTGATTTCTTCCGGGGATTTACTTATTGTTAATCTAAATAATGATGTTGTAATTATACCTTTTCTTTTCACAAGCATACTCGCTTATTGTAGTAATTTCATAAATTCATCCTAACTCGTTCTTATTTTATTTCGAGAAATTTATTTAAAATCGCGTCGGTGGATTTTTTTGAAATAAATCGAGGCATTTTAGACTAGAGACGTTTTAAAAAATAGAGGACATTTTTAAAAAAACTATAAAAAACTCAAAAAATGTCACGACAAGAAGCAAACACGATCATTTCTGGTGATATTGATAATAAAGCCAAAATTTTTGAAATGAAGTTTCTGCAAAGAAACTATATACAATTTGCAATAAAGATTAGTTTGATGTTTTGGAAGAGTTTGCTGCTTTGCGACAAATCAAAAACATTAAGATTTGCAATTGTGGCATTGCAATGAGATTAATTTAAAATAAAAGGAATTTTGTGTGGGTACTGATGGCAATTTCGTAGAAGTGGTACATGTAATTGAAACCAACCTGTAAACTATGGCTCTGTTTTTGAAAATTTTGCGCTTTCTTATCTTGATATCTTGCTCATTATTTGTTTTTGCGCGATTATTGTCCACAGAAGACAGTCGTCAAAGAAATCGGCATTGTTTCTGACAGGGTCTCTGCGTGGTACGAATATTTTAGAGATGTTGTGGCTGAAAAACGTTTAGTTGGCTCAAATATTTTAAAAGGAATTGATGGTGATGAACGTGCAATTGATGTTGAAATAGATAAATCCATTTTACAAACGAAAATCAATAGAGGACGAATAGGTGATCCAATGTGGGTTTTTTGGTAGCACAGAAAGAAAAGCGCTCAGATGTTTCTTGTACCTGTAATAAATAGAACACGGGAAACATTGATGGAAGTTATTATATGGAGAATAAGACCCGGACCAAGAATTTTTTCCAATAAATGGAATGCTTATAGAGTATTATACTACAGCTCAATATATGTACATGCTGAGGTAAATAATTGGTTGAGTTTTGTCAATCTAAATGAAAACGATATCCATACTCAAAACGTAGAATGTATGCGAAATCATGCTAAAACTTAGTTAAGTGTACAGCATGAAGCTCAAAGACAACTCCTGAACGTATATTTGATAGAATTTGATTTTAGATGTGTAGATAGATAGTCGAGAAAAAAGCAAAATTTTTAATATATTTTTGTGGTCGTTAGGTAATTAAAATAAATAAATTCGTTCTATAACATTTTATTATTTTTTGTTAAAAATGCCCTTTATTTTTTAAATATCTTTTAGTTTTAAATAACCTCCTCATTCATGTCTGGCATCGCTAATTTTGCAGCTCTTGTCGATAATTTCTTTACGTGAATTAATAGCCTTGACATATCTTTCTCCGTTTACAAGTACCTTTCAATTTATATCTGCATTTTTTTTAATAAGACCATATAAATATGCTGTTTCCTTACACAAATTTATTATAAATTTACTACAATAATTAATCATTTCCAGAAAAGACTCTAATTTTTTTCTAGTTTTAGGAGTTTCAAGGTAATTAATTGACTTAATTCTATCTGGACCTATCCCGGCCCCATTTTTATACACAACATGCCCCAATATTTAAATTTCCGCCTGTTCACATTCGCACCTCTTTTCGTTAAGCTTCAGCTCAGCCTTTTTAATTAGTTCTAGAGTTTACCTACATGTTTTCTTTGTTTCTCTATCGATTTACTATAAATAATAATATCATCCATGTACGCCATAGCAAATTTCCAGGACAGGGTTTTAGTATCCTGTTCATCGACCTCTGAAATATGGCGGGTGCGTTTACAAGGTCAAAAGGCATACAAACAAGTTTATATAGTCCTCCTACGCTCGAGAACGTAGTTTTTTCCAATGTCATTTTTATCTATCTTAATCTGGTGATAACCAGAAAGCGCATCTAGTTTAGTAAAAAATTTTGATTCATGCAATGAGATTATTATATCCACCGGGCATTGGATAGGAGTCTTTAATCGTTATTTCGTTTAGTCCTGTAGTCGACGCACAACCTGTATTTGTCGTTCTGTTCTTGGTAAGAACAACTGGGCTACGCCAGGGACTATTTGACCCTCTTATTATTTCTTCATTAAGTATTTATCTAATATCTTCCTAGTTTCCTTTTTTAATTCGTGCCCCAATATGTAACATGGACTTATCACTACAGAATAGTTTGTCATATTAATTCTAAGTTTACCTAATTTGTCTTCTCCATCCATTTTTCCTCTCCGATCACTTAATTAAAATTCCGGCCCAAAGATGATTTTTACTTTGTGTTTCGTAAGAAAATTTAATCCGATAACCATACTTGACATAATCTACTTCTTCACAATAAAATCTTCTTCATAATTTTGTGTATCAATAACAACTTTCGAATTTGTCGTCCCTAATGTCTTAATCTTAGTACCGTAGGCCCATATAAGTGAACCAGTTAATTTTGTTACTTGTTTTTGAACAGACTTGCTTCTTACTAAATTTACGCAAGCACCAAGTTCAACAAAGGCTATAAAACTTTGCTTCCCACGCCAACCATAACTTTAAGATCACCAACGCTTACATTACATAATAATTTAACATTTTTATAAAAATTAATTGTTTTATTTTAACAATCTTCTCTTTTTTTGTCATTTACTTCGATCTCCTAAGTTATTTTACTTTTTTCATCTTTTTTTCTTTTTAGGCATTTCTTCTTAAAACGTTCTTTTTTCTGCAGTACCAACATTTTTTAATGCTTCGAATCTTACAAATTTTCATATTCTCGAAAGTTAGATCTTTCTAGCATAGCCGAGTTAGAAGTTGCTCTGTTGCTACAATCGAGACCTTCGCAGGTATTATATATATAATCCCATGTAAGTTCGTCCGATTTATTCGTTAATAGGGTGCCTACAATATCATCTAAAAGCTTACCCAGCACAAAGGTAATCAGCACATTTTTCAAAAGTTCATCCTTCATTGCTAACCCCTTCATTTGGTCTAAGTATGCCAAAAAAACCCTTTCTAATAAAAATGCCGCGCCAAACTTTTAATGTGTCAAATGCCGCTCATCCCACCCTTAAATCTCCTAATAAACAGTTCACATAGGTTGTCAAATCATATATTCCAGGGAACAACCTCCGCTCATATCATTACTTCCCCAGCAAGATGATCTCGTAAGAAGAACCCCTTCCTTCTTCTCCACAATTACTAACCATAACCCAGCCCCTTTACATATGCTAGAAATGCATCAGTGTCGTCATTTCTACTGTTTCTAAGCATTTTTTATTTTGCTGTTGTTGCCGATTTGTCGTTATTAAAAGAATTGTTATTAAAAAACGTGGATTTAATTAAAAATATCTCTTGATATTTTCACATTGAAATATTTGGCATGCTATTGTATACCCAACAGTTTGAACAAAAAAATATTTGTCTATTACCCTATTAATATGTTAGAGACTGTATTTTTTTGCAGGTGGGTAAGAAAAAAAATATCTTTATTTTAATCACTAAAAAGTTCTTTACGAAACACTTAGCTCTTACGTTTTTAGACAGACGTATAACGTTATTCATAAAAGAGTTATTAAGCTTTAATTATTTCTACATAAAATTTTATTGCTTAATTGCCTTATATTGAATTAACCAATTTTATAAATTTAGTCTTTTCATTTTTTATAAATTTTTTATTAAATGTTGTGCATCACATAAATTATTTTTATAAAATTTGTGCATCACATAAATTAAGGATAAGAATTTAAAATATTTAAATTTTGATGTTGTAAAACAAATCATCTTTAAATGTAAATTGCAAAATATAGTAAATTTAATTCGTAAAGCAAAAGAATGCATTTTTTTGCATGCATAAACGGCGTAAACGAATTTTCCATAGTAAGATAAATTTGTTAATTTATCCTTTTCTTGATTTAAAATATTTTTATGACCCTTAAACATGAGCAAAATTGAAAACGAGACGAAAAAGACGTCGCCGCAGGAAAGTGAAAAATCTGTGATTGACCCAAAAAATAAAAAAAAAGGAGACAAAAAAGAGAATGTGGTTGTCGGCAGTCAATCAAAGCAGGAAAAGAAAAAGACTAAACAGGAAAAAAGTAAAAATGTTATGGCAGAGGAGAAACAAAAGAAGGATAGTTTAGGTGTTAAAAGCTCACAAAAAAGTAATGTTGACGAAAATAAACTGAAAGATGCTGAACAAAATGAAAACAAAAAAGTAAATGAGCCTGTAAGTAAAAAGGTTGCAAATAACAAGAAGGTAATAACCTCGGAAAAAAAGGAAGATCTTCCTAAAATGCCTTCTAACATTGACAAAGAAAAAAAAATGAAAAGTAGCGAGCATGAAAAAAATTTATCTTCTTTGAACAAAAAATCAAAGAAATCTCCTTCTGCTATGTCTCACCCTGAAAGTTTGGAAAGTAAAACGGAAGCTAAAGAATCACAAAATGCATCTTATTCTAAGGAGGAATCCAGCAATCTAATAATTAACTATTTTAAACAAATTTCTGAAGATTTAAGAGCGATAAGAAATCATTTTGTACCTGAAACTAGTATTCAGCAGCCTTTGCTTGAAGAGAAGAAGGTTATCAAACCGAATAAAAAGAATACAATGGATAAAGGTGATATGCCACCTTCTAAAAAATCTAAATCTTCTGATGAAGAAGAAATTCCAGTAAAAAGAGATGCCGAAAAGAACAAAAGTGATGTAAAAGAATCTGAAGCTCAAAAAAATGTTAGTCACGAAAAAGAGTTAGACGATGATTATTACATGTCTAAATTAAACAAGAAATTTGGTAAAAACATTGAGTTTACGATTAAAGAAGCACGACAAATTTGGATTACTGGTGTTGGAAGATTATCTAGCGAGAAATGGCAGCCAATATTAAATAGCCTGTGTGACAAAAAAATGCTAGTATTAGTCGATCAATCTGGTGAAAAAGATAAGTATAAAATAGTTGATTAAAAACTTTTTATTTAATAATACTTTTTTTCTTTTGTTAATCAAAAAGTAATAATATAACTAAATAAGTTATGTAATTATGAATATATTATTCTTGACAAAAGTTAATGTATTTTATACAATTTTTATGGTTAATTATTTTTAATTGTTATATTAGAATACAAAGCAATGCAAAATTTTTTCATTCTTATACAACAGATTTTATTTTATTTTATTATTTAATTAAAATGTAAAGCTATGTATAAAAATATTACAAATTTTATAAAAAAAATTGTTAAAAAAATCTTTAAGTAATTCAAAAAATAATTAAATATTAAAGACTTAGCTAAAATCTTAAAACTATCGTAACGTAACTTTATAGATAATTTTTTTGTCTAAACAAAATTGCTCGCGCTACTGTTTCAACGCTTTTACTGATTTGTATTAAGAAATTTGGATTTAAGAAATTAATCTTATTAAAAAAAAATTTTATAAATGTTTCTCAAAAAAATACTAAAACTTTTTGAAAAAGAAAGAAAAAAGGCGCATAACTTATACCAAAATAAGTTTATCATAAATATGCTTATAACAAAAAAAAGTAATAAATAAAACTGTCAAATTTTATTTTTAATTTTTTTGTACTTATCAACGTCGTTTATTAGATCTTACCGACTGTTTTATCTGAATCTGTTATGTGATTTACTTATAATTTTTAACGTTCAACATTACCTATAAATCATATATCATACGATGTGATTAAAATACATTTTTTGCCATTAAAAAATTTTATTCACGTTAAAGTTTAGAAATAATCAAACTTTTTGAATTTAAAAAATAAACTTGTAATCCTTAACAAAATTGTTAGCTTTGAGAAAATAAATTTACTGTAGAAATAAATTTTGTTTTTTAACATTATTTAATTTTTGGAAGTTGCAGCTTTTTAAAACTATAAATACAAACTTTTAATATGAATGAAAAACGCAGGTGATACACATAATTGTTGTTTTTTTGATTTATGTAGAAAACGTCGATTTGGGATATTTTTTGAAATAATCAAAAATTTTAAATTTTAGCCTCAAAAATGATAAAATTGAAAAAATTTAAAAATTTTTCAGAAGTGATAAAAGGATGTAAAAAAATAATAATTATAAAAAAGATGGTTGATTTTAAAAATTGCACAAGCAAAAAAAATAGACTAGTTTGTACTTTCTTTGCTTGTAAAAAATTATTTATTGCTGAAAGGCTTAACTTTTGAAGATAATCAAGGCTGTGGAAGCAATTACCGAAATTCTTAATTTGTGGCTTAAACATGTGCCAGTATATTTAATAAAAAGAATATCAAATGTTTGTAAATAAACCTTTAATAAGACATTTAAAAAAGTAAGAAACCTAAATGCTTTTAAAAATAATAATTCTATTGTAGAAGTAGATGAAAGAAATTTGAAAAATAAAAGTTTAACAGAGGATACCCTGTGGAGGATGTGTGGATTGTTTGTGCGGTGAGTAGAGCCGACAGACGTGTTGTAATACAACGAGTGGATAAGAGAGATAAAGAAACCGTAACAATCTTCTGTACCAAATATATTCTAATGCTTCTGCAATATATACTGACTGATGAAAAGGTTATTCTGATCTTTCTTAACATTTTATTTACATAAGACGTAAATCATTCTGTTAATTCTGTTGATATGCAGGCAAAAACTCACACAAATATTATTGAAGGAAACTGGAATGCTGTAAAACGAACAATTACCTTTAGATATAGAACATCAAAACTTGTTAAGATTTCTTTTAAATAAAAATGAAAAAGAATATAATTTAAAATGATTATAAAATTTATTTCTTTTATTTTTAAAGTGTGTTGCTTTTTTACTCTACCAAACACAAATGATTGACTATTTTGTATTTTTAAGTTAAAAATGGGGTTAAAATTTAAAATCTATGATTATATCAAACAATATCCAAAATTGACATTATAACTGATTCAATTATAAATTAATAATATTTGTAAATCTATCATTTTAACATATAGAATGAATTACAGCTATCAGGAAAATTTATTTAAAATAACATTATATATTATTTTTTTTAATTACCTAACTTATATGCTTTGCTTGGACCATTCATAAAATATTATTTTATTTTTCATTAAAAGTAAACTTAATTCAATGTTATATTAACTTTAATAATATTATATCTCATTTATAAATATCTTTTGTCCATTATTTTACCGTTATATTTAATTTTTATTTACATTAAATAAAATAAAATAATATCTCGATAAATACAATTATTGTAGTATTCAATAGAAGATTGTGGATTTAAAAGTATTTTTTATTAAAAATTAATTCTACTTTTGGAGTCTTATAGGGCAGATTATTTTTTCAAAATAATTATCTTTTGTAAAAGTTTAATTAAAAAATAATTAAATTTTTTTTAATAAACTTATCCAAAATTCAAAATATTTTTGGTGTAAAAAATTAATTATAAATAATAAATATCCATTAAAACAAAATCTAAATTATTTAGAAATTCGTGTATTATTTATGTCTTGTTACGAACTTTACATTTAAAATTTTTATGGAAGTTTACTAGAAAATAGGGCTTTTAACAGTTTGTTTGTTGCATAAATTTAAACTATAAATTATTTTTTTATTTTTATGCCCATAAATGGAAAAGAAAGAAGAATTGAAAAAAAATATAATTAACGTTCATCAGCGATTAGGTACAGATACATGTATTACTGCAGAAGAAATGGATACACAAAGACTGAATACAATTACTTATGACTATCTTTGTAGATTAGAAGAAGCAAAAAATTGGATTGGTGAAATTACAGTTCTGCCTGAATCTTTTGAAGAATTTGAGGAAGAGATGAGGAAAGGTGTTTTTCTTGCAGAAGTGGCTAAGCATTATTCTCCTGTTAGTGTGGGTTCTATTTTTATAGATAATACACTGCAATATAGACATACTGATAACATTAACTTTTTTTTAAAAAGTCTTAAGGATATTGGACTACCTAAATATTTTTATTTTGAAGTAATTGATTTATATGAGAAGAAAAATTTTCCAAAGGTTGTCTATTGTATCCACGCCTTAGCACACTATTTAAGAGATAAAGGTATGACTGGTGGAATTGTTAGTGCTGCAGGAAAGGTATTTAAATCTGAAGACATAGAAAGAATGGATAGTGAATTATTAAATGTTAAAATGCCAAGATTTGATAATATACAAAAGGATATTGCTAGTCACAAAGACTCAGATGAAGAAGAAGATTTAGAAGTTGTGAAAAATAAAATAAGGACAGAACTCTTAGAAGAAGAAAATTTAATTATTGAAAATATTCAAAGGGATGAAGAACAATCTAAAAATATAAATTTATCTTTTAATGATAAGATATGTTTAAAATTTAAATCATTTCTGTATGCGAAAGCCTTTGATGATATTTATTATCACACCAATGTGTCTGTTTATGATATTAGAAAGTTTATGTTTATATTTTTTAGAAAATCGCAAGAAATGGTTAAGGAAAAATCTATTGATGATTTTCATACTAAAATTAATGATAAATTGAAAGAAATTTACCGTAAAGAGGTTTATCTTGAAGATATTGAATCTAGAATACGACTTATGATTAAAAATAAATTGGATCTTTACAAAATTACTTACAAGAAATCTGTTGATGAAAATTTTAACTTGAAACCAATACAATCACTTTTACAATATTTACAAACCAATCCTGATGTATTATCTAATTTACTTTTTAAAGTTGAAGATAAAGAGAATTTTATTAGTACTGTCATATTACCTCTTTTTAACAATGTTTATGGAAAGAAAGAAGAATTTTTATTTATTAAGTTAGTAATGGAAGTACATTTGCAGTATAGATTATCTAATATTGAAAATGTTGACATGAGCTTGCAAACTTTTAACGATGTCAGTTATCGCATGATGGTAAATTATTTTAGAATATCTAAAGAAGGAGAATATTTTAAACAAGCATTATTTTCTATTGTTAAAAATTTAGAAAATGTTGAAATTGAATGCAATCCTACGGAAATTTACAAGCAGTTATTTAATACTGTAAAAAGTCTTGATGAAGCATTAGAAAACAAAAGAGTTATGGAATTATATCAAACACGTCTAAGTGTATTGAGAGGAGTTTTAAAATCTATATTTGATTTTATACAAAATAATGTAAATAATATTCCTTTTATATTGAGATATTATTTAAAAGAAACAGGAACAGAATTTTTTTTAAAAGATTTTATATATCCTTTTATTCTTGCTGGTGATGTATTTGACTCGAGATTTAAAATTTCCTCGGCTGTACGAAACAAAGCTTATAAATTAATAAATTTAATTTCTTGGTTTATAAGTAAGTTTAGTGCAGAAAATGATATTAATGTGATTTCTGAGGATATGACTGTTTATCTACCAATTTATGATTTTCTTAAAGAAACATGCAATAAGTATTGTAACACTCTTGAGTTAATAACAAAAGTACAATCATTAGAATATTACTTTCAATTAGAATCTCTTGATGAGTTGGTGCGAGTTCAGAAATCTATGATTTATTTACCAGTTCGTGTTGTAAATGGAATTATTTCAGTTGTATTTGAAAATCAAGACTTATTTACTTCAGACTTACTAGCAGATTTAGAATCTATATCTGAAGATGAAAATGTTATATTAACATTTAGTTTTTTGAATTCTGATTGGGTTAATCAAGTAGATGGCAGAGAACTAGCAGTTGATAATTATATTAAAAAAACTAAGAAGAATCTTCTTGTACTAATTAAAATATGCAAAGGAAGAAATGTTTTAGAACTAATTTTAGGAAATACTACTGAAGAGGAAAGAATGTTGTATGAACAAGAAGTTCAAATGTTAAATGTTCCTTCAGAAAATTACATTGAATTTGATAACATTGAAGACTTGAAAGATGGTCTTCGTGAAGATTTGAAATTTTTAGAAGAAAAAGGAATTGTCAGTAAATCTAACTTGTATTCTGAGATATTAGGCTTATTAGCTCAAGATATTATATCCTTAAGATTTTTCTCTTTAGAAAGAAGTAGAGAATTAAAGCTTAACGAATTGACTTATAATAATTTATTGACAAAGGAGGACTATTTAGATGCTAAAATTATAGAATATGATGATTATATTGATTCTTATTGTAGCAGAATGGCTATTAAAAAGGTTAGATATGATTCTAATAGTCTTATTGTTAAATTAAGTAAAGAGAGTATATATGGATCCTATTGTTTTACTGCTACGGAATTATTAAAAAGGAAGGTTCTTGATCAAATGTTTGAAATTCCTGATTTACGAGATGTTTATTTTATAATAACGAGTGATAAACCACTTATGTTTGGTCTTGAGGTATACATTAATGACTTATTAATTTCTAGTCCTTACAATTTCAGATTTGAAGATGTTTTAGCGCTAAAAAAATTCAAAAACAATTCTTTCGCCATTCCCGATATTTGTAGTTTTAATACTGAAAATTTTATACAACTTTTAAATGAGAAGTATTTGATTTCTAATTAAAATTTATTATTTTATTAAAAAAGCATATAACTTGTTCAAAACTACAAGAACTCTATATTTTTAAAAATGCTTTGTTTTTAACTATAAAAATTCTATATTTTTAAAATGCTTTGTTTTTAACTATAAAAATTCTATATTTTTAAAAATGCTTTATTTTTAAAGTGTAATTTTTTAATTTACATATTTTTTGTAAAAATTATTCATTTTTATTTTTTAAATGTTCTATTGTTTCAACTACATCTCCATGACATGCTACTAGTGCAGATAAATTATTTTTAGGATTTTCAAATCCCATTGCTCTTAAAAGTGCTAGTTCTTCTCTGTATTTTAACAATAAATTTTGCTTATTAAACTTTCCAGGCAAGGGTTCTGTAATGGGTGTCTTTATCATTCCACCTTCTTTATAAGATTTATTTCTTAAGCTGTCGGTAAAAGCACCAAGCATTGGGTCCTGTACATCTTTCATCATAGAATTTATCATATTAAATCCTCCAGGCATATTTTCTAATCTAGAAACAGTTAAATCAAAATTTTTCATCTGTTCTTTTAAATAATTTGGATCTGTGCTCATGTTTACCATTTCTTCCTGGAAACTAGAACTATTCATCATAGCTTGTAACTGTGGGTTATCTTCCATTTGTTCTTTCATTTGTGGCATCATCTCCAACATTGACTTCATGTGTTGAGGATTAAAAAGTCCAATATTTTTTTGTTTTTCTTCTCTTAAAAATATAATAGAATCTTCTTTTATGTCAAAAGATTCTATTGGTTTTTTATCATCTGTCAAATATTTCTCATTATAGTACAGTATCTGACTCTTAGGATCTACATGTACAATGTTATATATTTTATCTTTTAGATTTGCTACTGTATCTGTTTTATTAATCTCTAGAGTGTAATTAGTTGTATGATGTCTTATAATTATTCTAATTTTCATTGTTTAGTGAGGCCCTTAAAGATAAATTTATATTTAAAAAATAAGATGATTGGTTTATTCAAATATAAAAATTTTAAGGAGATTAGTAAATAATAATTTGTATTTTAAGAATTGTAATATTATTTTAATATCTTAACTGTTTTATAAATTTTATGTTTTGTAAATATTTTCTGTGGTACAACAAGGCAGTTTAATAACAAACAGACTGATTTAAGTACTTAATAAGCAATTATATTTTTTAAATTTGTAAAATATAAAAAATATTTTCATAGAACGCAAGTGATAGAAAAAAAGAGATTGTTTTATTATTGCATGGGATACTTATAGTAATTAATATTTAAATTTAAAAATTTACTAACAAAAAAGTATTTTTTTGATTTATTATCCTCATTATTTTTTAAAAAATTTATTCTTTTTTATACCGAAAAAATTAAAATGTTTGGTTTCTTTAAATTTGTTAATTAAAAGCCTTGACAGCTTTATATTTAATCTAAGATATGTTGTTGAACATTAATTGTTAATCTTAAATTTTTACCCCTAAAATGATAAAACAGTTTAAAGTGGATGCTGTCACTTTGGAGTCTGAAAATGTAGTTTATACAGGAACAATAAAGAATGAACCAGCTATTTGTATTTTCCCTAAAAAATCGGTTCTGCAAGATGAATTTTTAGACGTTATTAAGGAAGATGTAGAACTTAAACTACATAACGATATTTATTACGCTTACACTGTAAAAGCTAAGGTAGATCTAAAATTTCGTTTAATTTGGCCAGCCACTCAGAAATATTTCGTCAAATACACTTCAAAAATGGAATTTTGTAAGGAAACGTACGATGATTACATCGCGAAAAGGACAAATGAACCTGTTGTATGGATTGAAAATATTTTATCTGGAAAAGAAGAAAAATTTAGATACTACGAGGATGATAAATTTATACTTATGCCTAACTACAAATGGACAGAACTTTCTACAGATGATATTCAACTTCTATTAGTATTCAAAGATGCTAATCTTAGATCTATAAGAGACATTTCAGATGTTACTCTTTTAGAAGAAGCACGTTCAGTTATTATTGATCAACTAAAACATTTTAAATTGGAATATAAAGATGTTATATTGTTTTTTCATTATAAGCCTACTTATGAACATTTACATTTACATATAGTACATGTAAACCTAGGTCAAACAGCTTCCTTATCTGTAATAAGAGCAAGACTATTGGAAGATGTAATTTATAATCTAAAATTAGATATAAATTACTATAAAAGAGATATTTGGCATTCTCAAAAAAAATCAATAAAATAATATTAATTAAAAAAAATTATTTAATTGTTACAGCTTTTAAAAAGTAAGTAAATTTATTATAACGAACATATTAAATCATACGCTTGTTTAAGTGCCTTAATAGTTGTTTTTAACTTTACCCTTTTATTAACTACCTCCGAAGATTCTGACATCACTTCGTCTAAATTGGGTTTTTCGTAAATTTCGAGAAACAAACGCTCTTGAATTTTATTCTCTGATTTATTTACAAGCTCGTGCATTATAGCTTTAGGTACCTGATCAATTACTATCTTTTTTATTATATCAAAATAGGAAACTACCATTGATTTAATAATTCCTATTTCTACGCTTTCTTGATAAGACGTTTTTCCGTGTAGTTTTAGTACAGAAGGAATAGAGTCAAGTGTTACTTTCTTATCCATATCTTTATAAAAATCAATCCTTTCAGTTTTCATTAAATCAATATTGTGTCCTTCGTAATTATTCATCATTATATCAGACCATCTCAAAAAATCAGGATGTCTAGTCGTAATATAAGAAATATTCCACTCTATAAATGAATCAACAAGCTTGGTAGTAGATTCTGCATTCTCTTTAAACATTTTTATTAGTGATGTAGATATCATATCATTCAATGCTGGATATCTTGATACTACACTAGAACCTACTATTGTATTAATTATACGCACCAATTCGTTAAAAATTATCGTTATTAATTTAATGGAGTGGGGTTTTAATAATTTTATCGACGATTTGGCTAATTGTTCAAACGCAGTGTGCGAAAATAAAATATTGGATGATGATCCATTAGAATTGTAGAGCAGAGCTCGTATTTCTTCATCATTAAAATTTTCTAAAGGATCTATAAGATTTACAAAACTTGCAAAATGACTATTAAATGTATAATTAATCCTTGCGCCACCTATTAGTTCATTATTTTTAGAGTCAAAGTTGCCTTTTAAGGTATTATTAAACTTCTTTGATACATCATTAATAATTTTCATTAATTGTTCTCTTGGTGATAAATTTACGCATCCCAAATCATCTAAACTTTTCTGTAATTCAAGTATTGAACTATTAATATTTTCTTGTAACTCAGGTAAACAGTATTTAATGTGTTCATGAAGAATAGTATGAAGTTTAGATACTAAAAATTTTGTACCACAATAATTCTTATTCTTTTTATAAGCCGGGTGATTCTCAAAAAATGACATTTCATCTACTAAAGCAGTCATAATATCCTTTTTCTTATCTATATCTGACTGTCCTCTGTTTACTACGGGCACAAACCCAAGATTTAATTTAATCAACCTACCTGCCAATATATCAATAACGTCTGTTCCTTGGTCCATTAGATCAATTTTAGTAAGTACGCCGATAGTTCTTTCATAACTAGGATCAACTTCTCTGGCTAGTTGCAATGCATCAGAATTCGATATATCTGCATTGGCTGCAGATACTGCTAAAATTAAGGCATTTTTATTTGACACATATTTTTTACACATTTCATATATTTTTGAACAAATATCCTTTGGTTGATTATTTGTCGGTACTCTTACAAGACCTGGCAAATCTACTAGGGTTAGTGTCAAAACTTTACTTGAATAAAATTTAAGGGTAATTGGAATATTAGAAACATCGTTTTTTGATTTTAGAATTCGCTGTGTCTCATTTAAAATTTCATTTTTTACTTCTTCAAAATTAAAAAACTTTTTTTTTGGTAAATGATTAAAAATTGCATAATCTTCTGAACGATTGTAAATCAACTGTAAAACAAGAGGTCTTTTTGTAACTATTCCTGTTCCTCTAGGTAAAATATCTCGACCAATAATATTTTCTAATACACTTGACTTACCTGAACTTTGACTGCCGATAACCACTATTTGTGGTAGTTCTATATTATTCTGTATATTCGTTTCATTGCAAATATCTTGTAGTTCATTTATTTTTTCTATTAATAAATCCATATAACTTGTCATAAAATTTTTTATTTTGTATTTTTTATAATTTGTTTTTATTGTTTCACATGTGTTACAAAATATAATACTAAAGTTAGAGTTGTATAATTACACGTTTTTAAGACATTTAAGTCAAAAAATGTAGATAAATATTGATAATAATTAAATCTAAAACAAAGTTTCAATTTTTTATTGTTTTATATAAAAAATTTATACCGATGTAAATCCGCTAGTAAATGCTCCTATTTTTTCTTGTGCCTGCAATAGACTGAAATTTGATGGTATTGTAACATCAAATATTAAGAAACTTCTTAAAATAAATATATTAAAAATCAATATTATTTTTAATATAATAGATAAGATATTAGCAATCAGGAATATTATAAGGAGTACAAAAAATATGTATAATTTTATGTTTATAAACATTAGTAATATGGTTATGGTAGAATAAGCCAATCCTACTATAAGTCCGATGAATGACCAGTAAATCGCGTTTCTATTAAATTTTTGAAATATTACTTTGTACAAGGGTATTTTTGCAGCGAATACTAACAGTGTAAAAATATATGTACAATACGAAGGCATGACTGTCCAATATAGTAATATGTAAAAAGTAAATAAATCTAAGAGGGCAGAAGAAATAAATAAGATTTTTGAAATCGAAAACGACGGAACGTACATTATAAAGAAAAAAAAATACTAGCTTAAATTTCTCCTAAAATTAAAGGGTTTTAGTAAAAAGGATACAAAAAATAATAAGCATTCGTCATTTAAAAGAAAATAAATGATATAAGACTATACATTATAATATTACAAAATAATTTCGTTAATTTTAAAATAAAAGATTAATTTTATTTGTTTACAATTTATTTTAGTTTTATTGGTTGTTTAATTTATTTATAAAATTAATTTTCTAATACAAAATGAAAATAAAAGATCTAGTGTTTAAAAGTCGAACTATACTAGACAGTAGAGGAAATCCGACCTCTGAGGTGGATATTTTGTACAACGATCATCTTTTTAGATCATCGTGTCCAGCTGGTGCATCTGTCGGATCAAAAGAATGTGTTGTCATAACTGATAAAAGAACAAAATACAAGGGTAAAAGTATTGATGATGTACATCACATAATAAGAGATGTGATAATCCCGCATTTAAAAAATTCCGAAGTTAGTTTACTTGATTCACAAAAAATAGACGATGCGATGTTAGAAATAGATAGATCTTATAACAAACAAAATGTGGGTGTAAATAGTATTCTTCCACTTTCCATAAGTTTTTGCAAGTTATCAGCTTTTTTAAATAAATTAAAAGTATATAATTATATCAGTAAAATTTATGAAAGTAAACCAAGTATTCCAGTTCCCCATTTTAACATTTTAAATGGAGGTGTGCATTCTGGAAATAATTTTTCTATTCAAGAAATAATGATTGTTTTTGATACAGGCCATATTGAAAAAGATATTGAGAATGCTAGCGTCTTCTACCAAGAACTTAAAAGAACAATTACTGAACAATATGGCAGTCAATATACTAGTGTAGGGGATGAGGGCGGATTTGCACCGCCGATAAAAGATATGGATGAAGTCATTAGGCTTCTTGAAAAAACCGGTACTGCTTGTAATATTATTGAATATAAAATAGCATTAGATATAGCTGCTAATAGTTTTTATAAAGAAAATAAGTACATTTTAAATGGGAAAAGTTTATCCTCCGATGAACTTTGTACTTTTTATTTAGATTTACTTAAAAAGTATCCTAAAATTTATAGTATAGAAGATCCGTTTTCAGAGGATGATATTGCTGGATGGGAAAAATTTTCAAAAGAAGCGCCTTCTAATTTAAATATTGTAGGTGATGATCTCACAGTTACAAATCCTAGTCTTGTAAAAATGGCAGGAGAGAAAGAGTTGTGCAATGTTTTACTGGTGAAGCCTAATCAAATTGGTTCTGTTAGTGAGACGATTGAGGCAGTTAAATTAGCCAGAAGTTACGGTATGAAGATAATGGTTTCACATAGAAGTGGTGAAACAGAAGACAATTTTATTAGTGATTTTTCTGTCGGCATTGGTGCCGATTACATCAAATCAGGAGCTCCATGTAGAGGTGAAAGAGTTTCAAAGTATAATCAGTTATTAAGAATCAGTGAAGATTTTAAACAATAAAATAAATATTTTGCCATTAGTTTATTGAAAAAAAATTTAATTTGTTTTAATCATAAAAAAGTGAGAAATCACAATAATTACCTATACTCAAATAAATTGATCATTTTTAAGAGTACAGTTATTTTAATTTATTTAAACACCTGCAAAAAAAGATATAAATAAAACCTGTCAACTAATCATTATTAACTGATGTATTTTATTAAAAAAATGTTTAATTTTATGTATAAACTAATACAAGCAAAAATATTCGATTCTTTTTGATATGACCTTAATAAATTCAATGTTGTGTTTTTAGCGTTTAACTATGACTAAAATATGAGTGAAGACAAAACCGTTTACAAAACAAGATTAAGTAAAAAAAGCAAACGGCCTTCTAACAAATTCATGTTCTTTTTTAAGTTATAATTTAAGATCTGAATTTTTTTATTTTAAATTAATGCCTCATTTAACTTTAACAAAAAAATTCTTTCTTTTACTTTAGTAAGCGTGTACATAGAATCCACTTAGCCTCCCTGTAAACTTCTTCGATTTATTGTAACCTAAAATATTCTTTGCCGTATTCCAAGTGTATCGTACAGATTTTCCCCAGCCAAAAATATAATTAACTTCTTTTGTCAGCCACTTTTTTGTAACAGGATCACTTGGATATCCCGAACCAAAACTAATATTAAATTTACTTAGCAAATCATCTCTTGTAACTTTTGCAACTATACTGGCACCCGACACAACAGGATATTTACTATCTGCCTTAGACTCGACAGTACATTTATGCTTTATATTTAATTCTAAAAATTTTTTTAATTTATCACAGGTACCAATCGCATCTATAAATATTCCTTCAATATTAGTATATGCATTACATACAAGTTTTAAAAGATTTAATACTGTATTCCACGATATATCGTTTAGATTTACGTTAGATAACATTTTCGTGGTAATGTAAGAGGGATGAAGGGCGGTGTACGCATAATTATAATCTTTAAGGGTGACGAAGATATCATTTCTCATTTTTTCAGTTAACATTTTAGAATCTTTTAAATTTTTAGGAACATTGTCAACTTCAAAAACCATAACACAATAAACCATATATCCGATAACAGGTCCTCTACCAGCTTCATCTACTCCAACTATAACTCTTTTATCAGACTTTTTTAAACTTGAAAATGACAGATTTTGTGACTCCATAAGGGTTTAAAAATCAAATAAAGAAAAGTAAAATTATTTTACAACTGAAATAGCAAAATACTATTTATCTATAATTTTAACTTATTTTTTATATAAAATTTAAATAATTGCAATAATATATTTGTTAGTGTTATAATAGCATGTATTTTTTATAAATATTTGAATAGTAGTTACTGTGGTATTAAGACCACATAAATTTTTTATTTTTGGCCAATCAAAAATGTGATTGAATTTTTAAAAAAATTTTTTCTATAAATAAAAATTTTAAAAGAAAAACAAGATAAAATTAAAATTAGGGCTATCAGAAAAGTAAGAATAATTATAATAAACTTAATTCAATCAAAAACAATTTTAATATTAATACTTAACCTTACGCAAACATTTTAGAGTATTTTCTAGCACGGAGAGATTGCCTGTGGAATTTACTACAGTTACATATTAAATCAATCATAAGATCATACATTAATTCTATGTACAATACTAGTATTATTTATTACAATAGTATAAATTTTAAAAATCAATTATCAATGTTTTAAATAAAAAAAATGTAAATACGAAAGTTGAAATATTTATTTAAAAATAATCACTGGTTTCGACATTCAATTAAATATTTGTTAAAAATTTTACGATTTATTTTATTAAATTGAAAATACAATTTTAGATTATTAATTTGATAAGTTGATATTGTGAAATTTTCTAAAATTGTCTTTATATTTAAATAAGTTTTACCCTTCACGAAAGGAGAAGCAACCTGTATGAACTATACTAACGAAAATCACAATAAGAGAAATAAATCACTTAATTATAGTAGACAAGGCCATCAAGAGCCTATTTTTAAAAACATTTTAGTAATATCATTTTCAGAATGGAACATTCCCTGTTAAATACGTCAAATATGTTAATGCATTTTTATATACAAAAAAATAATTACTAAATATAAATTGTCTTTGACTATACGTTTAATTTTTAAGAAACAATAGTGGAACTAATAGTAAAGAAAATAATTATATTTTTATAATTAACATCAACTTAAGATATTATACCAAAAATTTTAATTTTCTAATAATATTATTTTAGTAGATTGAAACAAAAGAGAAATAACGCCTTATTATCGATACTTAAATTTAAAGTAAGAAATTCAAGATTTGAAAGAGAAGGTGTAAGCTGTTGATTTATGAATAGAAATAAGATAATGGATGCGTATTTAAATTTAGAGATATTTTTATGTTAGCATTACTACACCTTTTAAGATACCACTTTTATTCTGTTTTCATAAACATGCTAGTTACTGCAGAACAAAGAAAAAATTAAATTTAAATAAATTTGGAGAAAATGCCGATTTTAAGTATTTTTTATATAATCAAACATTTTAAATTTTAACTTTAAAAATTATAAAATTAAAAGAATAGAAAAATTTGGAAGAACTTACAGAAAGCATATACAAAAATAAAAATTGTATAAAATGTGGTTATTTTATATTACCATATAAGCAAAAAAATAAACCAGTTTGTACTTTTTTGCTTATAAAAGAAGATTTTACTTCTATGAAAGCTCAATTTTTGAAAACAATAATTAAAATTCTTGATTTGTGGCTTAATTATGTATGTGCCAATATATTTAATATAGAAAAAATATCAAATTTTTTTAAATAAACTTTTAATTGGACATTAAAAAATAAGAAACCTAAATGCTTTTAAAAATAATAATTCTATTGTAGAAGTAGACTTGGAAAAAAAAAGTTAAATGAAGGATACCCTGTGGTGGGTGTGTGGATTGTTGGTGCGGTGAGTAGAGCCGACAGACACGTTTTTTACAACCCGTGGGTAAGAAAAATAAAGAAACTTCAACAACCTTTTGTACCAAATATATTGTAATGCTTCTACAACTTCACTGACTGCTGTAAAAGGTTATTCTAATTTTTCTTAACATTTTATTTACATAAGACAGTAAATCATTCTGTTAATTCTGTTGATATGCAGGCAAGAACTCACACAAATATTATTGAAGGAAACTGGAATTCTGTAAAACTGACAGTTCTTTATAGATGTAGAACATTAAGACTGGTTAAAATTTCTTTAAAATAAAAATAAAAAAGAGTAATATTTAAATTGTCTGTAAAATTTATTTCTTTCATTTGTCAAATTTACTGTTTTTTTACTTTTTAATAAGCAAACATTGCTTTACTATTTTGTATTTGTGTTAATATATTAAAAAGTTGGGGTTATAATTTAAAATTATATCAAAAAATACACAAATTCACCATTTTAACCAATAAATTTTATTGTATAATTGTTACATTCTTGGACACAATGTAAAACTCCTATTATTAATTAAATATTTACTCTGTTTTAATACCTATTGTATATTTTTGTCTATGTCCCTAATTTTTGCAACAAAAAAGCCAATTTCTTTGTTTACATAATTTTATTTATCGTTACATTTAAAATAATTTTATGTTAAAATTTCAATATCAACTAAAATCTTTTACATATTGCCTATGGATTCGATCAATCAAAAAATTTAAACATATAACAATAGGTCCAAACTAAACATCAAATGTTGTGTTCAACAGGTTGATTTACTGAATAACGTTTATTTATTTATTTATTTTTCATCCCCTTCTCGCTTTTCGCATATTTATGTAAATATGCAAAATTTCGTTTCAGAGTGAGACCAGCCGGTTTTACATTCTAAAACGGTCTCAGGAATGATTTTATTGTTGTGCTTCATAAACGCTAATAATCAAGTATTAACTTTTCTAAAAATTAAAAAAATACTTACTGTTGTATATTTTAATTTTAATATGCTATTATTTTACAATGTTTTATAGAAAATATATTTAATATTAAACAACCCTTAATGATCCAAAATACTTCTTTTTCTGACTTATATATCAATGCAATATTAAAATATTACAATACAAAAGATTTTAAAAGGTTAAAAGGCTTTATCAAAAAAATAAGTTTACGTATAAAACACCAGGTTCTTGAACATCTAAGAGAAGTAAATTTAGTAATGGATTTTAATGAAAAGGTTAAATGGTTTACAAAATATTATTTAGGAAAAGAAATAACTGTTAAGAATGATATATTAGATCTACAAAATATTTTTATGTTACCATACGAAACAACCAATGTTATAATTTATACACTTTGCTTCGAGATTTTTAACAAAAAATAAACAAATTTTTATTTATACTGGATTTAATTTATACTAAATTACATTTAATATTGTTTGATATAACATGAATTAATTTATTTTCTACTTAAAGTGGGACAATAATTTTTTCTTTATTTTAATAAAATTTGTTGTAAAAATTACTTTGTATTTATACATAAGATAAAACCAAAAATTGAATAATTAATGAAAAATGTCATATCAGCAGGAACATTGTTTTTAAAGATAATGTTTACGATACTATTGTCGCTGCCATATTTATATCACGTTGTAAAGTTAATCTTTGACATAGAAACAGTTATAATGTATACATAAAATTGATAATCATTTTAAAATGAGCTTAACTTGTTATTTTATTTAAACTATTTATCTTTCAGATAATGTTTAATTTACTCTCTATTGTAAGAATAGATTTGCATGCCTTTGAAAGAGAAGAAGTTATTTAGTTATTATTAACAACACATTTTCTACTAGATTTTAAACTCGAGAACAAAAAAAAGTGTTAGAAAAAAGGCAAAAAAAATCATACCGTAGAAAACGTCAGAATTTAAGTTCGGTAATGATTGATGTATAAAATTTTTTACTTTAGAATAGGAGGGATTTAAAAGAAATTTAATCAAATTGATCCATGTCGGTAATAGTCATGCAGGTCGAGACAAACCATATAATTTACGTAAGTATGGTATAATTACCACATAGATGGTTTGATTATTATTTGAAACTTGCAATAAAAGTAACAAATAATCCTTTGTGTTTAATGTATTTGTTAATTTATTCCAAAGCTTAAAAATATAAAGGTTAAAGCACCTCAAATTTGCAATTTTTTTGACTACCCTCGTTTTTAAATTTTTTATCCCTTATTTTTAAAATGCTGCACACATAAGAAGAACTAGAAAAAAAATTAAAATAAAATGATTTTTTTTATTTAAATTTTTTTTCTGGTTCTTCTTCAATATTTTTTTAATTAATTGGTTGTTTACAAATATATCAAATGTAGTTACTTAAAGACACAAGTACTAGAGAGTAAAAGATTCAAAAATATATTTTTTAATATTTATAAGATAGAGAGCAGTACAACAATTCACTTACCTCACTATTTTCATTATTTCGACATAGCATAAATCTAAGTAGATAAATGGTAACAAGCTTTTTTGTTCTGTTTCTAAATGGGATGTTTCTTTTTATAGCATTCCACGTACTTTTAATGGTGTTAGTATGTACGTTTTCTTTCCTGTTCATAAATTCTTTTCTATGATTAACAGTTTTATGAGCAAAAAAAAATATTTTTTAGATCGTTGTATGCTTTCCAGCAATCAGAATAAATAATACTATAAAGATTTATTTGGGCCTTCAGAATATTTTCTAATGTTTCTTTGTTTCTTTTTTCAACAGGTATGAGAAAAATCTTCTTAGTTCTTCTTTCTACACCACCAAAGACCCATACTCTTCCAACGTGATGCCCTCTGTTATATTTTCTTCTTCCAAACTTGCTCTCATCTATCTCAATATATTGCATGTTCCTCCCAATTTAAAAGTGTTAAGATAATAGTCCAGTATGGAACTATAATTAAACATGTAAATTATATCTGTTACCCAGTTTCTTGACAACCCACTTATATTTGTAATAAGTTTATATGGCACGTTATTTAAAAATAAATCAATAATTTTTAAAATTGTAATTATTGAAACTTTCCTATGATAAAACCATGTATTCTTATAAATCGAATATCTATGTTTTTTTATTTTGTTGCAACAAACAACTCTTACATCGGTATAAAAAAAAAATTTTCCCCACATTCGAGACAATTTTTTACTAATATTCTTTCTTTAAAGTTATTCAAAATATTTTCTAGTTCTTCTTCTGTGTGCAGCATTTTAAAAATAAGGGATAAAAAATTTACAAACAAGGGTAGTCAAAAAAATTGTAGGTTTGAGGTGCATTATCCAGTTTTAGATAATAACATTTAAGAAGAAATTGAATCAATAAACATGTTATCTTTAAACGTCAACAGTTTGGCTACAACTCAAAACAAGAAAATATTTAGAAATAACAGGGATGATAATCCAGATGCATATATGGCTTATGTGCAGGGGTGTGCAATAATCAATAGTTGCGGGGAAGAAGAAAAGGTTTTTTTTCGGGGACTATTTGAGTGGTTTGGCCTCCGTATGGGCTGATACAATACCGTAAAATGTCTGTTTTGAAGAGCTTTGTTATGAGTTTTTAAAAATATTTAACAGAGTAAATCTAAAATTATGCACCTTAAAGCACTGGCAGAGACTAAATATGCCGGAGGATCGTTTTTAGCATATCTAGATGCTATAAAAAGACTTGCTAATAATTGTGATATGCCAAAAAATGCTCTTATTATGTTTGTTTTGAATGGGCTTCCAATAAATAACGCAAGTTCTTTGATGATGAAAAATGTATGACAGATTGCCTGGGAAAAAAATTACAATGCTTGTAAAGGGTTCGATTACACCCTGGGTGGCAACGAATACACATCTACTATCCAATGAAAGTATGTCAAGTTAAAAAATCATTCGGATGTTGACATTGTGGAAAGACGGGACATATTTTAAGAGATTGCATTTAGTTAAAGAACCAGAACAAGAAATAAACTCAGCAAATAATCCAGGAAGATGCCGAAAAATTTAATAAAAACAATTTTGTTTATCTTACGTCTTTATCCATTAATAGAGGAAATAGTTTAAAAATAAGGATCATTATCAAGGGAGGTTAATTAATGGACTTATTGACACCGGCGCCGACGTAAATATTGTCGATAAAGACTTAGCAGAAGGAGGAAGTAAGGGGTGTAGATACAAGCTATATTCAGCAAATGTATCTCGACTAAAAACCTAGGTACAGCTGTTATCGAATTTGTAGTGAATGACAAAACTATAAAGGAATCATTTGTGGTTACAGAGATAATAAAAACGCCAATTATTTTAGGGCGCGGGTTTTGTGAAAATGAATACGTTAAAATTGAGGTCGGAAAAAAAGACGGCAATAATAAAAATTGGAAAAGACAAAGCTGAAAAGAAAGTACTTGTAGCGCATTGTTATATAACTAATCTACTACCCATATAGTAAGTTTTATGTATAGCCTAGGTAATGAATTGGAAAAGAAAGCTTCAAAAATAATCAAACATTATATAGAGGAAGGAATCATTAGAGAATCTCACAGTGCATGGCAGGGTCTAATCATTTTGGTAAAGAAGAAAAATAGTAGCCATAGGCTTTGTATAGACTACAAAGGATTAAAAGATATTACGGTAAAGGATATTTATCCAATGCCAAGAGTGGATGAAACTCTTGATGCCTTGGCTGGCTCAAAAATTTTTACAAAGCTGAATACCCTGTCCGACTTTCACCAGATAAATATGCACGAGGAAGATATTGAAAAGACGGCGTTTGGATGCCGGGAAGGGGTGTTTGAACTAGTAAATGCGCCGGCAACGTTCAGCGCACCATGAATAGAATATTCCGAGAATTCGTAGGGATTTTGTATTGGTTTATATGGACGATATTATAATATATAGCAAGAATGCTGAGGAACATAAAAAACATGTAAAAATGGTATTGAGTAGGCTAAAGGAGGCAAAATTGATATTAAATAAAGAAAAATATGAATTTAATAAATCAAAAATTAGCATTTCGAACCATCTAATTAATTTAGATGGTATTGATATAGATCCGAATAGAGTTAAAGCTATTTTGGAGCCAAAGCCGCCGCCTACTAATAAGGAATTTGAAAGCATTTTTAGGAATGGTCAATTAATGTAGCGGGTTTCTAAAAGGAGTTTAATGGGAAACAAAGTATTTGTAGGGCTAATTAAGAAGAACGTGGAAACAAATTTTAAGATCTTAAGTAAAAGTGAAACATACATTTCACCGATTGGAAAAAAAAGTTAGTCTCCGATGTTAAAGCTTTATCCTTACCAGGTCTGCACGGCCCTTTTATATTGACTACAGATGCCAGTGATTTGAGAGTTGGAGCTATTCTCTCACAAATGCAAGGGAAAGAAAAGAAAATAATAAGTTACTTTTCAGAAGTTTACAACAAGGCAAAGCAGAATTACTGTATCACGGAAAAAGAACTTTTAACAGTTATAAAGGCGGCTCAACACATCCGAAGCTATTTGTAAGAAATAGAATTAATCTTAGAACAGATCACAGCGCAATTAAATATCTTTTTACAACTTGTAACATAAAAGGGCGTCTAGCTAGATGGTCATTGCTATTGCAGGAGTTTGATGTGCAGATCGAGTACTTACCAGGGAAAAATAATTCAAGCGATTTTTAAAGCGGAGGTTTTGGCGAAGGGAATCTAGAAGTGCTTTTTGTCGCTTAGGAAGTGGCTAGAGATATTACAAAGGCACATATAGATTCTGGTGGTAGGTCTTGGCGTGCGACCCAATATTTAGGAGAAAAACAAAAAAGTAAGTGGTAAAAGGAAGAATTCATGGATGTCATAAAGTGATGCATCATCTGTCAAAGGTTTTCAAGAAGCCATTTTAAGAGTCAAGTAGTTCCAATTCCTATTAAGAAAGTAAACGAATTGTGGGTGTTAGATTTTGTTGGTCCACTGCCGGACAAGTTCAAAAGTTACAAAAATTTAGTCACATAATAGATCATTGTCCAAAAAGTACATATTGGTGCAGTTAGGTATAAAAAAGCGTCAGAAGTTATAAATTGGCTTTTAGAAGGAATAAAAGCATTAGGAAAACCAACCAAAATTCTTTCTGACAATGGAAAAGAATTTCAGAATTAGAAAATGATGGAAATAGCAAGGAGGTTGGGCATAGATTGGAAATTTAAGGCACCTTATTTTCCCACAATGACTGGGCTAGTTGAAAGATTAAACAGAACATATCTAGAAAAGCTTAAGAAAGTTTTAGAATTCGGGCGCAAGGATTGTTATGGCTGTATTGGTGCGGCAACGAAGGCATACATGTTAAGTTCTAATTGGACTTTGAAATGTTCTCCATCGGAGGTCAATGCTCGTTCGTTAGATCGTAAACATATAAATAAATACAGAGATTTCTTTGCCCAAAATGCAAAATAAAGTTAAAAATTGGCGATCTTGTTTGTTTTAAAGATAGTTCTATTTTTAAACATAGGTTGAGCCCGGATTATAATATAGCTGAAAAAATTATCGGAATTGAATCTGGTGTGGTTACGGTCGTTCTAATAACTGGTAGAAATGATCGTTCAAACTACAAAGACATTAAAGCCGGGTTTTAGTGAAAGGAGGTGTTTGAAGTTATTCGCTTCTTTAAGTCTTATTTTGTTAAAGATCACAACGTTGTAATAGTGGTTTTTTGGTTACTATAGACTGGTTTGAAACTAAGTTTTATATAATAACATTTACGAAGAAATTTAATCAACAAACATGTTATCTTAAACACCAACAATTTAACAACAAAGGCTTATTAAACCAAATAACCATCAAAATTATTTGAAAAAAATATTAAAGGTTTATTTTAGAAGGGCAAAAGATTTAAAAATTTCTAAAAATAATCCCTCATGGATATTACAATAGAACATAAAATTTTTCAATATTTGGATGTGCTAAAAAACTTTCTTATATGCAATAATATTATAAGCTCCTCTATTTCCTGTTTAAGATGTGGCAATTTGTCTAGGTTGTTGCCAATTTCTGCAAGCGGCAGAAGTATAGGTTATAGATGCACAAAGAAAGGATGCCAAAAACGCCTTCCTTTGTTTCATTCTACTCTGCCCTTAACAAAAGTAGCAAGACTATTGTATTGCTTAATATGTGACTGAAATTACTTTCAGTCGACGATATTTTTTAAAATATCTAACGCTACTATTGCAAAGTATAAGTCTTTACTTCCAGTTTGTTACAAAGACTACCTTGAAAAGGGCCCGTTGTGTTGGAAGGATGTGGGATAATTTTTGAAGTTGATGAAAGCGTTTTTTCACGTTTTGGAATTATTAGAAATCTTACAGGCGCCGGTGATACTAGGGATACAATTTGGATATTAGGTGGAATAGACCGAACAAAAAAGAGAAATTTCTTTCTTCGTAGAGTTACTGTTCGTACTATAGGATCATTAATCGCGGCCACGATGCCTAATATCAAAAATGATAGCATTCTATTTACCGACGGACTCCCTTCATATCCGTCTGTTGCAAAAAATTTAAATTTTAGGCACAAAATAGTTAATCATTCTGAAGGTTTTGGGTTAGAAGATGGCATCTATACAAATAACATAGAAGGGTTTTTTGGCCATGTGAAAAGTACTATGAGGAAAGAAAATGGCGTTTTTCGTGACCATATCGACGCCTGGTTAAGTAAGTATACATTTAAGCGAAGGTATACTTTAGGTAAAAGCAATGAAGAATCTTCTGAAGTATATATTGATATTTTGAAGAATTATTTCTATAAAAATTATTAATAATATTTTAATAACCTTTGTTTTATGTTTCTTGACGTTGGCCAAATTTGTGGAGAGGTCGCGCCGACTGGCGCTACTCCATCTTTCCTCTCCCCTCATTATTGCAGAAAATTAAAATATTTATTTAAAAGAATATTGGTTAAAAAAATTAGTTTTGTAAACATTTTACCAATTTATAAAAGGCCATCCTTAGCGTCTTGTTATCGCTATTTTGAATATTTTTTTCCTTTATTTCCATTCATTAAAAAAAAAATTCATTCTCCCTTTATTAATACTGCCACATTTTCGATAAGCATGCTTAAGATGGGACCACAGGCTTTCAATTTGGTTCGTATGTGCTCCTTGAGCATTAACAAACCCAACAGAGTGGTTTACCACTTCATGGCAAGATCCAAATTTAGCAACGGCTTCGGGGTAAGATGGATAACCATCGTTAACAATGATAGATCCGGGCACAACATGTTTTTTGAACATATCTAGTATAGTCGAAACTTTTCTGTTAGAAACAAGCTTTAGAACAAAGTTCCTACAATTTACCTCTTCTACAACCCCTAATAACCATTGTACATTAGTTTGTTGTCTAGAGTACTAGATGGGTTGGGTATTAACTCCCCATTACAGATAGCCGTTTCGTCAAACTGCACCCTAATACCTTCTCCACCTATTTTAACCATTTCTGGCTCTTATTCAGAAATTACTTGCAAAATCAAATCTTTGATTTTAATATAGGTAGTCTCCGAACAATCGCAGAAATCAATCGCCTGAGCTAGGGTATAATCATATACCCAGCAATACATTCCCCTAAGAATTTTTACAAATTCTATATTAAGGGTGACCATTTAACACCCCTTCTTTGGGCTTGGCTTTGATCTTCATGCCCGTCTATATACGTGGCAGCCACCATAATACACATTCTGTTATCACATCTCACACAATTTATTTCTTTTTTTATGATATTAATTTCTAGAAAAAATTCTATTGTCTTGGTATTTTTTATAAAAAATTCTTCACTATATTTAAAACATAAAATTATTTCTTCTAGCTGATCCATAATAAGGGTTAAAAATAACTCTTTTTTACCTTTACCCCATCTTTCCTCCTCCCCCCGAATAACTACGTTCACTTTAAAAAAATTTGTACGTAGTTATTCGGAGGGGGGGACGGAAAGATGGAGTAGCGCCGACCTCTCTATAATCAATCACTAATCGAAAATCCCAGTTTTTCTTTTCTATTAAAAAGGCGGGGCTAAATATGTCCACTTTATCTTTTTTAATAATTTCTTCTTTCAATAGTCTTTCGATTTCTAATCAGGCTCCGTCTCTATATTTGTGAGGTACCGAATAAGTTTTCTTGTGATTTGATTTTGATTTATTTGTAAGTTTAAAGCAAATTGGTTGTACTTTTACTTCTTAAAACCCCCGGCTTATCCTTTTATGCTCTGCTATCTCGTTTTGTACGTGATCTTCGATAACATCCGTTGTCGAGTTCTGTGACCCATTAAAATTTCGTCTGCTAGACATTTATTGACGAATTGTCAAATCCTAAGGTTTCTGTGTCTATTTGGACACTATTTTCCATAAAGCTTAAAATGCAATTGCTATTCATTATAAATTCATTTCCTATAATAACGTCGTATGAACATTTATCTATTACATAATATTTCATATGATGTTCTTTGTTTAAATCTTTAAATTTGAACGTTATTTCGGTTGATTTGTCTACCTTGATTTTTTGATCGTTCACTACTGATATAGTAAGGGACTTGTCGTCTCGAACCATACTGCCCAATGCACTAACAGTTTCTCGTGACATAAAGTTTCCAGTAGCTCCCGCATCTATTAAAGCCATCAACTCATTCTATTGAACGTTTATTTTTAATTTAAAATCCATTTTTTTACTCTTTCCTCTCTCATAACATGCGATTCCTCTTTTTTTCGCCTCACTACCACGTCTCTTTTTTGTGATATCTTCTTTGTTGTTTTTATTCTTGAACCAACAAAAGGCGAAATCGTGTGTGGAACTTTTACATTTTATACACCATTTCTATTATTCTGTGTTCTACTTTTATTTCTTTTCTCTTGCACACATGCAAGAGATCGGACTCTGTCTATTAGATCCCTTTCTAATTTGTTAAACATGTTATCGCTTCCTCTATCTCAAATATTCTTAGGTCTTTGAGTCTTCTTTTTGTGTAAAAACTCAAATTGTTAAAAAAGTATTCCTTTAATCTTCTGTTATGTTCTTCAGGTGTTACATTTTCGATGTTAGCATATTGTGTAAAATTTATCTTTGTTTCTTGATAAAATTCTTGAATGCTTTCAAAATCCTTTTGTCTTATAAATTTAAGCCGGTGAATGAATTCGCTCGAATCCATCTTGTAACCTGCTCTTATATTTAACTGTTTAATTATTTCAGTAGTGTTCTTTTTGTCCAACCCATCTTTTAGATATGAATCTTGAACAACTTCATGTAGGACGATTTTCTGGTCCTCAAAACTTCATTCCAAGCTCTTTGATATAGCTAAGAAATTTTCAATCCATGATTTTATATTTAACTTTTTGCAATTTTTTATAATTAATAGTTTTTTTATTAGTGCTATTTTCGAGCCGGGAATCTTGATTTCGAATTTCATGTAGTGGTGGTTAGCATCCTGCTCTTCCATCTGAGCATTCTTTCTCATTGAATTCAATCTGCCTGAACTCGCTGGTGCTATGTTGTTTTTTAAATAATATTCGATTAAATAAAAAGTATCTATTGATTCCATCATTTTATAATTTCTTTGTATTTATGTTTTAAAGGGGTATTATTTAAATCTCCTTCTAATCTAAAGAAAATTATTGGTTTCATAATACTTCGTTTGTCAGAATGGTAACAAAGAATTATGATTGGTTGTTATGTGCAAGTACATAACAAAAAGCAAAAATAAACTGTGGTGATTTTTGGATTATTTTCATCGATAATTTTTTACCCCTTATAATGGCTGAAAGTCTGGAAAAAAATATTATAAAAAGTAATAAAAGCAATCCCAAGCTGGCATATGAGAACTACTTTTACAATTTTAAGAAAATTTCAGTCGGAAGAATTATGTGGAGATGCAACAAACGAGGAAGTTGCTTAATATTAAAAACAACTTTAAATTATGTGTTTACAGAACTAAGTAT